TGATTTTGTTTCCATGTTATTATTAACCTTCCGAAGAGTAAAATATTTAGACTTCAGCTTCTGCTTATCTACTCGTTTTGTTTGTTTGTTTTGAATTTCGCGCAAAGCTACACGAGAGCTATCTGCGCTAGCCCTCCCTTATTTAGCAGTGTAAGACTAGAGGGAAGGCAGCTAGTCATCACCACCCACCGCCAACTCTTGGGCTATTCTTTTACCAACGAAGAGTGGGATTGACCGTCACATTATAACGCCCCCACAGCTGAAAGGGCGAGCATGTTTGGTGTGACGGGGATTCGAACTGGCGACCCTCAGATTGCGATTCGAGTACTTTAACCACCTGGGCATGCCGGTCCTTATCTACTCGTTGCAACTTGTATTTACTTCTTTCGTTCTTAAATTTAGTTAAATTGTATTGGTAAAAAAAAAAAGTGGGAAAGGTAAAAACGTCAATAATAATCAAAATAAAGTTTAATTATTTCTGTATGTAGTCCATGGAATGCCCCTGGTGGCTCAGTGGTAACCTTTAGGGAACATAAAACTAAAATTCGTGATTTAATTCCTGCGTTTTACACAGAATAGATAGCATACTATGCTGCTTTGTGCTTAATGATAAACAAACAAGGTCATTGACCAAAACAAGCTAAGTACCAAGCAAGAAAAGCTGACTAGCAGGGGAATTATGCAAACATTAGGAGAACGAAAACGCTGAAATAGCTTAGCGCATCTTATAATACACAATAATTAGGTTACTATGTAGAAAAAGAATGATGTAACCTTAACCAAAAAATACTAAAACGTTGAAGAGAAATACCATCTGCTGTAAATTTCTCCTCGTTATTGTCATGCTATAGGTTCGATTTTTATCCGTTTACTAAGGTTTTACTAAGTAAAATTTCAAGTTTTGTTCGCCAAGAGTTGTTATTGAATGAATATAACTAGCTACACTGCTGTGAGATGGTGGGTGGGAAAAGATGATTAAAATGTGTAACACCACGGAATATATCACAAAAATGGCAACTAAACAAAAATTGAGACGTTTTACCGCTGAACACGAATATAAATCGGTCTTGGTGTAATTATGCTCAGGAACTGAGTTTTAAAAAGAGGATAATTAAAAATAAAAACAAAGCAATTCTCATTAAAGAAATACAGTTTAGGCTAATTTTGAACAAAAGCAACATAACATACATACGTTCTCTCGCGGAGTGTTTTGCAGTAACATTTGCAAAACTTTTTTCAAAGTATTAAAAAACACCTCACTCTACCTGATTATAAAGAAAATATATACAGTTATTTCATCTTTTAAACGGTTTTAATAACTAGCAGGTAACTTAGTTTACAAAAAAACAACAACATTTTATTCTGTAATATAATAACAGAAAAGATGTTCGCGCTGTTGATTATGATCCAGAAACAGCAGGAAACAGTTTCCAGAAGGTTTGCATATGTACGTAACCAAGAAGCGTCATTCGTACAGTATGAAAACAAAGTAGTAACAGAAATACGTCTTTGTTACTTGTTTGTTTGTTTCAAAATTTCGCGCAATGGCTATCCGCATATGGCCAGCTGTAATTTTGAATTGACAGACTGGAAAGAAGGCAGCTAGTCAATAGCACTCACCGTAAACTCTAGGATTACTCTTCTCTGACCAAAGAGTTTGTTTTGTTTGAAGTTATGCACAAAGCTACACAATGGGCTATCTATACTCTGCCAAGCACGGGTATCGAAACCCGGTTTCTAGAGTTGTAAGTCCGCAAACATACCACTGTTCCACTGGGGGCCTGACCAAAGAGAGGGATTTGAACGTCACTTTCATAACACATCCACTACTCCACTTTGGCAGCAACAGATCTGGAAAACCACGAATCTTTGGATTCACAATCCGGACAAGCTAACTACTAGGCCATGCTTGGCTCATTTATCCCTTGCAGTTCACACAATGAAATAGCACGCTTGAAGCTTTGATGAGGTTAGAAAGCATGGAGAAAGAAGTTAAATAATAATTACATATTCAGAAGTGTTTACGAATATTTATTCTGTGGATCGTTTGACAGGTCAGTGAACTTGACATCCCTTCTCCCAATTCTAGAACTAACCATTATTGACAAATAAGTAGTGCTGATTTTGTGCAGCAAATTCCAGGATTTGTTCTGCACTACAACCGGAATTATGGGACCATCTTTGTGGGGCTTACTTCACTCTAGCCCCCATCCCCAACACACATACACTGTGATCCACATAAAACTTAGCCCACATATTCAGTGCTGATTTTGTGTTAATTTGTGCCGCAAGTTCCAAATTTTGTGGTGAACTACATAGTTGTAGTTATGAGGCAATTTTACCTGTGTATGTATATGTGTGTGTGTGTGGGGGGGGGCTAATTTCACGACGGAATATGCCAATACGACATTAAGAAAAATGGCAGCAGTTCAAGGTTATGTGCATCCCGTGGTTGTCAGAGATAAAATCAGTTATTCTTCCGCAAAGATAATACTGTAGAGTGTTTGAAAAAAAAAATACACGAGTTAAGAATTCTATTAAGTGCAGACTCACCAGGGCTATATTGGATAGCTTTCCTTACGTGACATCTGCAACTAGAGTTCAAGATCTTGAAACTCTCGGTACTCAAACTTTCATTATTTTACAAAATTGTATTAATTATTATTTTTTTAATTAGTTATCTTATTCATTCTTTATTCAATTTTCGTATATATTAAGATATTTACCTTTTATTATACGTTGCTATATTCTGCTTCATGTAGTTATGTGTTATATCTTTATATACTTTTCCGCTGTTTCGCTTCGTAACTTACATAACTATTATTTAATCAAGAGTCAGCTGTATTTCTATGATGCCCCCCAGTGACACAGCGGTATGTCTGCGGACTTACAACGCTAGAAACCGGGTTTCGATGCTTAATTCCAAACAAACAAATTTCTATCATTTTCTGAAGTTAGCCTCAGGCTGAAATGTTTTAAAAAGTTCAAGTAGTGATGGTATGAACAAGAATTTTATTTGTTAAACTCTAAAGAAAACCGATAAGTTTTTTATTCATATACAGAAATGTATGAAATTAAAATATACATGTATATGTACTTAAACAACACTGAGGTAAATTATCTACAGTCAGCTAAGCCTATTGACAAATGCAACAAAGATACTCTTATAATATACTCCAACATTCATTAATTAAAGGTCTAACTTGTTGTACAGAGTAAACATACAGATGAAGATTTAGGTTGTAATTTACTTTCATTGTGATAGATTTCAGTATTACGTCATCAAACAATTCCCATGAATTATTATTTCTCTTGCAGCAAGCCACATAATGAACAAACTGGAGTTAAACCCCCCTCTTCCCTACAGACACAAAGATTGCCCCATAATTCTGGAAGTTGCGGCGCAAAGTAGAAATTAGCACAACACCAGCATTTAGTGCCAAGTTTCATATGGATTAGAGTCAGTGTATGTGTGTGTGTGGTGGTCGGCGGAGGGGAAGTCTCGGTAGGTAGGTAACCCGTAAACCCCGAAAGGAAGTAGTTGTAACTAACTAATTTAAACTTTTTAACGTTAGGTTAGGT